AATTCAAGAATGGGGCGCTCTCCGTCTCCCGGTCGAAGGTCATGGTCGGCTCTTGATCGTGAGGGTCGAATCACTTGATGGCCGCGCCGGCTCTACGCTAAAACGGTCTCCGCTCTCACGCGCGGCTTCACGCTCCGCCGACGCCGATTTAACTCACACGCTCGAATTGGCGAATTTGAACTCCGCGAGCGTACTACGCCGCGGACATAGGTGCGCAGCGCCGAAGGCGTCTTTTCCGCCTTGCGCGGTACACTCGTTCGTACTGCTCCTCGGCCAATCCTCCTCCGCCTAAGGCGATTGTCCGCGCATCGGACAAAAGTTAAACTCCCGCCTATGCGCAGGCGGAATCTCCGCCGACGCGGAACTTCACCCGCCTGTGCGTAGGCGCTCGCCTGCGCGTAGGCAAATTCCGTCCGCGCTGCTGCGCTGGCGCGAAAGGCGTTGACCGCGGTCAACAGACTCCGTCCAGACTGTCCGTCTCTTGTCTCTCCGTCGGCGCTCTCGCCGCCGCAACTCCGTCCGACCAAGAGCGCATCCATCCGTCCCGTCCGTACAGTCCGTACGGTCCGTACGGATTTTACTACTCCGGCGGTTCCTCGCCCGTCCGCGCTGTTGCGCTGGCGCGGAAGGCGCCGTACAATTTCTACCTCCGAAGGTGCATTTTTAGGGCCGAAGGCAGATTTCCCGCCGACGCCTTAGCGCCTGTGCGTAGGCGAACTTCGCTCGTCCGCTTGGGCGGAGGTTTCCTCGCCTGTGCGTAGGCGACATTCGCGCCTACGTCAAAACCCTATTTCGCCTACGCGTAGGCGAACTGCTTTCGTCCGCGCATAGGACAAAACTTTCTTCGCCTGTGCGCAGCCGGAAAGTTGAGTATTTTGCGACCTTCATAACTCCCGGAGTCCTCATCCGTTTGTGGCGTTCTTGAGCTCGTTGGAATCAACGCGTTGAGCTCTTTCCAACAAGACCCTAACCAAGTCGAGGCGTTAGGGGATTGACCCAATTCTGAAGGATTCCTCTAGCCGAAGGCGTAGCGCCGAAGGCGGATTTTGCGCCTTGCGCCGAAGGGATCATACCTTCAGAGCTCGCAGGGAGGGCGGTGTCCGTCCCTGACGTTGCACTCTACTCCTCAATCCTACGAGTTCCCGTGAAAATCTCTGCGATCTTCCGAATTCACTCTGTTTTGATGCACCAAAGGCTATTTACACTGATGCCGCGGTACAGTTTCCCAAAAATGTTTTAATGTCCTCAAAAATACCAAAAGTGGGGTACCATAAAAAGTATCATTGTTTGTTCGAGTTGCTGCTGCTGTTTGCCTTCAAAAACTTAGCAAATTACTTGCTGATTGTTGGGCCTTTTCTGTTGCATTTGATTCATCTACTGTCGAGACCACCTTGTATTTTGACGTTAGAGTGAGGTTTGTTGTAGGAAGTCGGCTGCATTATTTTCAATTATGTTGTCTTCCTCTTTATGGACGACACACAGGTGACAACTTGTTCGAGACATTTGAGAAAGCTATGGATGCAGTTTGTCCATCTTGGGTATATACACTCTTATCGACATGCTCTGATGGTGCCAGAAACATGACAGGTCGAGTACGTGGAATAGTTACTCGTGTCTCTACTCGATTTGAACAGGAAGGTTGTCACTTGATTCGATTCTGGTGTGGTGCACACCAACTTGACCTTATTGTTCAAACTGTTATTTCAGATTATCACAACAAAGAATTTTACTCAATGTTAACTGCCACCATCGGATATCTTTGTCGACAGCAGAATTTGATCAGTGAAATGAGATCCAAGTGTCCAAAGGTTGCAACTACTCGCTCGTTATCGTTGGGAAAAGTATTACCTTGGTTTTCAACTCATCGTTGCCATATTGCTGAATACGTAGATCAGAAAAATTTTGATTTGAAACCAACTGTCATGTGGTGGATTGATTTATATTCATTGATCCCTATAGTCACAGAGATTGATTTTCTGTTTAAAACTTTGCAGTATTCTACGTTGTTGGTCACACAACAAGAACTTGCTTTTTCTAGATTCATTTGTTGTTTTCGGGATGTAACAACAATGGAAGTTCCACTTTCAGAATTGTTATTTCAGGAACAAGATGAAGATATCTGGTGTTGTAACAGTTTTTAGAGGATTGCCAAGAATGCTGTCGTGCACTTTGTTCTAGGGTGTGGTTCATTCATTGCTATGTCATTCGATAGCTTGTGTCAAGTTGAGAAGGATATTGTGATTTGTTCAGTTGGAAATCTAATAGTTAGTCTTGCAACAGGACCACATGCAATCGAGCCAGAAAGAGATAGTAACAATGCACCAGCAGCAACTTTACCTCCATGTCTTCCTCGCGAGTTTGTGAACATGCCTGCATCAAGCTTCGTGGACCTGATAATTAGATTTCGATCTCGACTTGAGAAGACATTCACCAACAAGTACATTGACAGCTTGGAACGAAAGTTCAAAGAACTGAAGACTGCTTATCAAAGAGAATATATAGTTCGTGACACTATCGATCAAATGCCAGAATCTGTAGATTTTCATGAAGCATGGAGTGCTCTTGAACGTAGATTTTCCAAACTGTGGACGTTTGCTGGAGGATTTGCTAGTGTGTATCCTGGTACAACGCGTGTAGAGAGTGATTTTTTTGTGATTAGTTGGGAGAAAGACGAGTACAGATTGTCCTTGATGGATCTGTCACTCAAAGGCATCATGCATTGTAAATAGTTTAAAGAAATTCAAGCAATTTGATACCTTGCTCATATTTGTCATAAATAAATTTCTGATGATGCCATAATAGAATACTTTATGACAGATTTGGCAAATGCCGGGTTAGCAGAGGCTTGCTAATGATATATAAATCTTTGATTTTAAGATAATTTTAAAGTGTAAATTTATGAAAAAAAATTTTGAGTTAGATTTGATTTCTAAGAAAATTTTGTCACAATTAATTAAAATATTAATTAAATTTTATTAAAAATTTAATTTATATTTAATTAAATTTTAGCGTTTTGAGATAGTTAGAAAAATTATATTAAAATGTATTTCATACAGAAAATTTACAAAATATATTTTCTACTAGATTTTGTATTTTTTTAATAAATTTAATTGTTATTGAGTAAGTATTAATAATTGAAAACTTATACAAAGATGCAAAACTATAATTCATTGTAAGAAAATTAACATAAATTTTATTATCAATAAAAATTCTAAGCTATTAATTTTAAATTTGAAAACATATTTTCATGTCAACTAAATGATAAATTTAAGCAAAAATTTCAAATGTATCTTGTATCTTGTATACGAAGATTTTTATGTTGCTCTATGAAACAAGAAATTTTAAACATGTTTAGGTTTTGAAGAAAAAAACTTGGTTTTATATTGTTCACAATAAGCTGCATATTGTTTTGTGCTACAGAGTTTAAAAATTTCATGTCAAACAATTTTAACATTTGAAAGCAAAAAGAAAGAGAATTATCTAAACAGAATATTCCAAAGTTTGAAGTCCACATTTTCTTATGCCGGATTGAAATTTTGCTTTAGCTTTTTATAAGTACCAGAGTCAATGAATCATCATTTTATTATTTTTACAATTTTTAAGAGATTATGATGCATGTTTAATACATTACAAATATGTTGAATTTTGAGCCAAAACAAGCCAACAAATATTTCGAATGTAAAAAAAAAAAAACAAAGAACAATTGATTCTGAGTATCTTGAGTTCTTTTACAATTCCTAATCTGATATCATTTCCAGATGTCCAACAATAAAACATGAACAAAAATAACAAAAACATGAAACACACCACTGAACAAATATATATGACATTCACTCAATCTATATAATAACATGAGGGATCAAAAGAGTAGTTTATTTGAACACGAAACAAAAATTTAAATACAAGAGATATCTAGAACAGTAATTTTTCCATTATACAGATTTTTTTAATAAATAAAAAGACATAAATTCTCAGCTTCATTCTACTCGGAATGAATTGAAGACAAGATGGCTATATAGTGCAAACACACACATGTGTCATTGTTAGCTAATTTACTTAGTCTCTATTTACTAAACACACTGGTTGTTAACATAAAAACTATACATAGTCCACTATAAAGTAATATTTGTACATTTGGAATTGAGACATATATTTGAAAGATTTATAAGATTGTCAATAAAATTTAGATATCCAATTCGAAGAGTAGGAAACTTACAAGTTAAGATTGTTTCAAATTACAAACTTGATAAAATTTCCCTTACCTTGAGTGCAATTTGATATATACATTTAATATTTAAAAATAGTTGCAAATATGTCATTTTTCATGAAATGAATATATTAGTTATTATTTGTACTTAAGTTTTCTTTCTCAAAGTAAATTTTTTCAAGATGTAAAGCAATCCTTAGTGGAAGTCAAAGAAAAAGGGAAGCAATGGTAGAAAGATTGTATTATAATTTATACACAATATTTGAATAATAATTTATAATATGTGAAGTATTTTGTAATATTTTTTGAATCATTGGAAACAATGCAAAGTCATCTTTCTAATCTATATAAATTTCGGATGAACTGATTGTTTTATTGGATGTTATTAGCTATGCATGATAGAATTTTAACAACTATAATGATAACGGAAAGTTATAAGATAATTTATATTCACAGAATGTACCGAGTACAGCATTTAACAAGTAGCCATTACATAAAACCATACTAGTAAACGATTACTCCAACCACTACTTAGAATGTCTTCGAATGATGGCACTTTATTGTGAAAAGTTTCCCGCGCAATGTCATCCATAGTTCTTGAATTTCTAAAAGTATTGTTAATAAGAAAATGTAACTTACATTTTCACGCATTGACTATCAAGTATTAAAGTGAAGCGGAGTGAGGTCATGACTAATGTGTAAATCGAAAGTTTAGTTTTCCAAAGCAGTAGCTTTATTTATTTCCAATAAGAACAAGATACACAAATGAAATGCTAAACAAAACGTTGTTACCTAAACCGTAAATGATCACATCATCACGTCTGATAATTACAGATTTCGGCTCAATGTACAAAACCTCTAGAACGTGACTCTATCATTCGAACTCTTGCAAAATCTTTGCAAGAGTTGAAATGCGAGTGAATGTTGTATCAATCTACGAGGAAATCCTGAATATGAAAGTACAATATGCACAATTCGGAAAGCTACTGAATCTAGTATCCTATACAGTGAGCTTTAGAGTAGGAATGCACATTATGCAGAAGTTGGGACGGTACTGAATCAAGGAAAGGCATGCTTCTTCGTGGCTGCTAGACGGCGATCTTCATTGTCTGAGACCTCATTGTTTTCATCACCACTAAGGTCATCGTTCTCCTCCGTATCTTCGTGCGGGTGCTCAAAATCAGCAAAATTCAGATCATGAAAATACTCATGGTTGAGGGCTTCTTTGGCTGTGATGCGAAAGTTCGGATCCATGTTCAACATCCTGTAGAGGAGATCAATGGCATCAGGGTCAAAACGTGTTACTTCTACCTCCAATCGTTGGCCCCGCCACTGAGGAAAATTTGGTCGAAAATCAGTCAGTGAGTTGACGCCAGGCCATGATAATTCATTTGGCGTTCCCATGATGTAGAAGATCTTCATGATCTGCTCGATCTCAGACATTGCTTGGAACAAAGGTCGTCCGAGTGCCATTTCGGCAAATATGCATCCAGCGGACCATATATCAATCCTTGTCGAATAATCCGTGGTCCCAAGAAGAATCTCAGGAGGTCTATACCATAAAGACACCACTTCGTGGCTGAAGGCTTTGAGTGTGTTCTTATTCGCCGGAAAGTGATAGTGTCGAGAGAGACCAAAATCCGCAATTTTCAATTTCAAGGTAGACTTGTCAATCAGCAGATTCTGCGGTTTCAGGTCACGGTGCATGACATTATGCTGATGACAATAACTGATTCCCAGGAGGATCTGATACATGAAAAGTTTGATCTCAAGGGGAGTGAGATAATTGAAGTGCGTCTTCATGTAACCGGCGAGGTCACAATCCATGTACTCGAAAATCAGATAGAGCTGATTTTCCCTGTAGAATACATCATACAAGGGCACAACATTAGAATGCTTCAATCCTTGCAGAGCAGACAGCTCTCTCATGACAAAACTGGGCATTCCGGATTTGGCTGGGAGCATCTCCCCTCTGATCCTCTTCATGGCCACCAGTTCTTTCGTCCTCGTGTTCAAAGCTTTATAGACGACTCCGAAACGACCCTCTCCGACCTTCTCCACCTTATGGTACTTCTCTTTGAGGAACCCGCCTGCGATGACGCCGTCCATGACTCGAGCAAAGGGGAAAATTACTGCCGCAACAAGAAGCGCAACTTTGTCGCCTGATTTCAAGAGCCTCTGCAAATCTGTACAATCACAGTCAAGAACACAACGCATACACTCTCGCCTTCACAATCTTCCCTTCCCTTCCCTCGAAGGATCCGAGCTCTAATCACTCCGTGCTCGAATAACTCTTCTTGCACGACGAGGTACGCAAGCAAGGAGGTAGCCGGCAGACTAACTCGCTTCAATTATGATGTATTCTACAGCAAATATCAGTTCTATCTGATTTTCGAAAATGCATAGCAATAACTCCACCTGCCAACTGCGCCTCTGCAGTGCAGTGCGGCCAATGGTACCTCAGCTCACCGCGCCTAGAAAAGGACATTTGCTTGCTCTGTACCAGTTTCTTCGAATCCTCAGAATCGTCGACGGAACCTTCCGTAGACGATTCTACGGAAAGTTCCATAAACGCTATCGCGCCATGCTATCCATAGACTCTCTCTCCGTAGCGTTACCCATACAAGCATATCTGCGCAATGAGTTTATTCATAAATATTGGTGTTTTGAAAGTCAATATTTTTTTGGTGAATGCATAATCGTTACCTCTATAGATGTTACATTCACCTATTGTGTTAGGTGATATCACTAGCGTTATAATTACAATCCATTCATACTTTGGGCTTAAGGTGAACCTTTTGCTTTCATCCGTATGCTTTTCAGATCTCTTTCGATATTTTACATTAGCTAGATATAATATCATTAGTGTTGACATGCATTAAAAATGAAATACTTTACATTTGTAACATTGAGTGAAAGGGGATAGATTGTTATATAGAATATTTCTTTTTGTTATTTGAAGATGAAAAATATTTCGATATATAATAATTCCCAGTGTCACATTTTGTATAAGAAAATAGAAAATTTTTATAATATTATAATTATATATATATATATCTCTAAATATTTATTCAAATAATAACAAGTCTCAATGTTTCATTTAATAAAAACTTAGATCATTATAGTAAAACATTTTAAATGTAAAAATAAAGATTTTTTGTACATTGTACATGTATAATAACTCTGAGCATGAGAAATGGGTTAAAGTTTGAATGATTGAATTTATACCCAAGAGATTATGCGATTAGGGCAAGTACTCGCGGCTGGGGAACAGTTATCATTAAAACGAAGAAGACATAGTTGAAGACTCTGTGCTCTCGCATGTGCAGAGAATGCATCTGCATGTAAAAATCCAGACTAGAGTTGCTAACTGCTTCTCTGAAAGGGAAGTACAGTACGCAAATCTCCGGAATGAGTACTCAGTGCAAACCTTTAAAAACAGAAAAAAAATAAAATATGCAATCATGGTTGTGGATATGCTTCGCAATATAAAGGCAAAGTCCTTTGAATTGCAAGTATCTCAGCTTCAGACTCCTGTGTCCAGCAACCACTATGATGGGACAAATTCCGCAAAATTTGTGTACCTCGATAATCACGATAACCAGTTCGCGTAGAAGTCAGTTCAACGAGTTTTCCCTTTGAACGAGGCCACTATAAGAATTAAACGGAACGATCCGAGTCTCCACCTATTATTGCTTTTGTGAAGGTGGTATGAGAAGAATCGCTCCTGTCATAGACGAGAAAGGGCAGCCTACGGGCCTCCGTCGAGGTCATAATTTGGAAACGTTTTCATCCGAATGAAGCCACACATTCTCTGAAGAAGATTAAGCGTCATTCTACACCATCATCTCATCTCTTCTTTGTCTTGGTAACGTAAATATCGTGTGATATACATAAGCTCGGAGGCTCTCGCTGGCCTTACTTCACCGGCCATACCGTGTTCAGGCGCATACAAAATTAGAGGACTGTTTGATTGGTACTCATGACCACATAATTTGAGTTCTCCGTCAATTGCGTTTGTGAGACCAATAAACGTGCAGTTTGATTCTAAGACCAAGGCCAGAGTAACCTCTTCATACAAAGAAATCTTGCTCCCAATTTTTTCTAAAAGGATGGCATCCATCTTGCACGCATATGCATGCATGTGGTAACACACTTTTTGTTTTTTTGCAGAATTTAAACAATTTTAGAAACCTAGTACCGAAGCAGTGTTTGTAGTTAGAAAAGGGTACGTTAAATAGAGTGGATTAATGACATCGTCACGAGGACACAAAGAAACACGTAGTCGGATGTACCAATGTTTCCGGCGCCTTCGGCAAAAGCTCCTTTTCTGAGATGTCTCTACTCACGCGCCTCCAGCGTATAAGGAAGCTACGCTTCCGGCGCAGACCCCTCAGGAGGAGGTTTTGCTAAAGACGTCAGGAGAAGGGCCCGGACCTCTAAAGGCATCCGACCATGAGTGCGCCTTCGGCGAAGCGCCGCTAGCGCGGAAAGGGAAAACCTTCATAACAATCGGGATACACGGTAGATCCAGATGATTGAAGTCGCATTAGAAAGAGCTCGGGACGCTCGTTCTAACGAGCCCAAGAGCGTCGGAGATGGATCAGGGACGGAGAAGTTATGAGCGTCGGAAAACTCGTAGCCGGACATGCGCCGTTCGCGCTAGGGTTCACAGCCGGAAAGGATTCCCGTACGCCCTCGGCGATGTGCCTTCGGCGGAATCACGCGCTCATAGGAGGAAACCAACTCAGAGTCGGAAGCGCCTTTGGCGGCTGTTCATGGAAGGAAAGCGCCGGTCGGATGTACGCCTCCGACGTGGCGCTGACGGCCGGATGCGCTGGCAGGAGTTGCGCTGGCGGATATGCGCCGGAAGCAACGGACGAGGCATAAAGGACAAAATAAGCGGTACGACTGCGCGCCGGCGTAATTCGCTCCGACTAGATGTGTGCCTCCAGCAAGGCGCCGACGGATAATGAACGCACCAGCGGCGACACGCCTCAGGTGAGGGACGGGTTAGGAAAAGACAACAGGGCCGACGTATACCCTGCAGCGGACTCGAGTCCGGAAGGTGGCGGCGGCGGGAGAATTCAACGTTTAAGCATGCGAATGCGCGCAGTGCGGAGACGTGAATTCGCGCATGCAAAGGGCGAACCGTTAAGCCGTATAGCCGGCTGCGTACGTTGTAACCAGTAAGAACGTTGGACGTTCTTGAAATCGGAGAAGAAAAGACTGCGCTCCAGTCTCATTCTCTCATTCTTGACTTTGCGATTTCCAGTTTCCAAGATTACGCGCAAGGGCGGAGCGACCTGCAGTGAGAGTAGAGAGTGCGGAGACGAGTTGCGCAAGGATCTTGGCGGACCTTGAAAGAATTGCGAGTAGCGATCTTGAGCTTGAGCGCAGAAAGAGTGAGCAGTCAGAGCTTGAGCGGCAGACGCGCAGTGGCGATTGTGAGAGAGTGAGCGAAAGGGAGAACGTTTGTGTGTGCAGGCAACGCAATGTCGAAGGTTCCCCAGCTGCGAGTGTCTCCACTCAGGGTGCCGCAGATCGGTCTACGCGCATTTCAAGATGTGCTGTTGAGGCTGAAGCTCGATTTTCTCCTATGGGGGTGGAACTGGACATGTCCGGAGATGGTGCGCGAGTATCTGCAGGAGAGACACAAGCCCTCTCGCGGATTCCGCCCACACCCAGAGAGATGGGACATTTGCAACTGGGCGCAGGTGTTGGGCAAGTGTGCCGGCGAGGAAGGGGATCTCCTCTTCGAGGCCGATAGCGTGAAGGTGTCCCAGGAGGAAGAAGTCTCTTACAATGAGCTTTTCAAAGTTGCCAGACATCCCAAGAACGGTTTCCGGACACGGGATTACAAGGATCGATTGCGGAGAAATGTCGCGACGGCATTGCTGCAGATATTGCAGCCGACCAAGACCGCTTACATGCATGGTTGGCAGGTAGAGTTTGTGGAGCTAGTGTTGTCAGGAGCTCCAGTGCATTGGGCACGGCTCCTGTGGAAGGTGACGCGCCAACATGCGCAAGAAGAGAAGGGAGGAACCCTCAATCATCTATCGCCTTACTTAATCGTGTTTTATCGGGCGATGGGATGTTTGACAAATGCTGAGAAAACACGGTTTCCGCAGCTGACCCGGAACTATCCAGGTAGATATTCGAGGGAGGCCGAAGTAGACACGGATCCGGACGAGGAACCTGCCAGTACGCCTCCGGCTCCGGCTCCAGCAAGGGCAGCAGAAGAACGTCGAAGTGAGCGCATTCCGCGAAAGCGGAAGTGGGATGAGAGACCTGAGGACAGACAGCCGGAAGTGCCAGCTGCGCCGACTCGTGGTCGGCCCACCCCCGAGCCTCACAGTCGACCAAAACAGAGGGCACGAAAAATGCCAACTGGTACTGAGGAGACCGGGCGAACTCCGACCCGGCGGAATCTCACAGGAAGAGATAATCGCTCAGATTCTAGGGAAGACGGCAGATACCTCTGCACAGAAGGCACCACGGCCTTCGGGAGGAGATGGACGGACTGACAGTCGGCCGACTGCGAGTCGGATGACTGAAGGCCGACAAGCGGAAGGAAGGCCAACTGAACGGCGCGTTGAACCGGACAGCAGGCCCGAAGCAGAAGAGAGTTTGGCTGACGAGCCAACAATCCTCAGAGGGTCGTCTTCGGCGGAAGGCACTTCTGGAAGAACGCCACCAGCAAGCAGGCCAAGTGGAGTCAAGACGCGCAGGGTGTATCCGACTCCCAGTCGGACAACTGCTGGTCGGCCGACTGCGAGTCGGACAACTGCTGGTCGGCCGACTGCGAGTCGGACAACAGAGAGTCGGCCGGATTCGCCGACTGCGAGACAGATGGGGCCAACAACCAGTGTGCGGACGCCTTCGGCGGACGCACCCTCAACAAGGACACCTTCCGCGCAGATTGCGCCGGAAGGACAGGCAGCAGAAGCGGGCGGTTCAATAGTGACAAAAGTCACTGCGGCGTCGACCCCTTCAGAAACCGAAGATCGAGCCGGAACAGGGGCTCAGGCAGTGGGATCTCCCACTGCCCTGGATATTTTAGCAGGCAGTGGAGCAGCAGTCGCAGCGGAAGCTGCTGCGCGCCACAGTTCCAGGGAGTCGCCAAGGGATTCGGTGGCGACTGAAATCCTCGAGACTGAGGATGATACGAGCTCAGAAGAGCAGGAAGCGGATTCGGTGCAGAAAACGCCAACAGGGGTGCTGTGCGAACAGATAGTTCCACTCCTGCGATATCTGGATCGCAAGACATCCAAATACGCAAGTGCTTTAAAACCGCAGTCTTATGTGGAGACTATCAGGCGAAGGACGAGGAGCAAGGTGGCAAAGTGGGCCTCTAGTTGCCAAGTATATGTGGATAGGAACACCGCCCTCCGACAACACCTGGCGGTCACCCAGAAGCTATACCAAGCCTTGCAGCAGCAGAGGGAGGATGCGGCGA